TAAAATTCCAAAAAATAATGGATTTTGTTTTTCATCATTTTGGCAAAGATTGGAAATTGTTTGGGCCATTAATACTTATTTTTACATTTTTCCATCTTTTTGGAAAATTTCAAAAATACCCTGGCCACAAATCTATTCTTTAAAATCCATTTTTTCATTAATTTTCAATTTCATTTGGATGTGCTTTGTTTAATCATGTTTTAAATGTATTTTTCATATTTTATTATTATTTGTATATATATATTTTTATTGTTTAACACTTGTTTGACCGCTTGGGACTTTCCCGATTAGCCCGATTGGACAGTCCTTTTTACTGGTTAGCACTGAATTACTGCTTCTGGCCCCATGTCCAAATAACCGCTTTTGGCCCCATGTCCGATTAATTGCTTTCGGCATCACGTCTGAGTAACCGCTTTCCTACACTGGCACCGAGTGAAAAGGCGTGCACTGTGCAATTAGGAAGAAGTAGGGAAGAAGAGGAGAGGGACAAAGAGTTAGAGAGACATATAAAGAGAGAGAAATCCATGGCATGCACAAAACAAGCTAAGGTTAGCACCAAAAAAATACATTATAAGGGACCGATTTCACTAAACTGGTAGGACAATACTATTAGCAGCTCCCTCCTTGGCTAGAGCATCATACGCCTTATTGGCCTCCCTACAACTGTGATGAAAATTGACTTCAACATACTTGCAATGCAAATACGAAACAAAATCGAGATTGAAAAATTTTTATTTTTTTTGAGATTGAATAAATCGAGAAGTTTGAGAAAATCATCTGAACCTAACACTTTTTTTATCGGATTCATTATGAACTACATTCGGGAGAACTTAGGTGTGACTCCAATAGGCGATAAAATGAGAGAAAATAAGCTTAGGTGGGCCGGCCATATGTAGCACATGTCCATTACAACACTTGTTAGGAGGTGTGAGTTGGTACAAGTGAAAGGCTCAAAAAAGGCAAGAGGTAGGCCCACAAGAACATGGTTGGAAGTAGTGAGAAAAAATATCGAGACTTATGGCCTCACTGAGGGTACGGCCCTTGATAGAGCATAATGATGGATCGGGTTTTGGGTAGCCGACCCCAATTAGTTGGGAAAAGGCTTTGATGATGATGATGATGTGAACTATAAGGGAGGTTATAAGATAATTTTTTATGTGATTTTGATCTTGATAGTCATCTAGAACATCAAGGATTGGAGATCGTATATATATATATATATACACAGGGTTATGTTTGGGTACTCATGCATGAGTATTTCCTTGACGTACTCAACATTTTAGGACACTTGATACCCTTACCCCACTATATAGTAACTTTTCTGTCTAGACATATTTTAAGCAATTAATTAGGGATAAAGTAGAAATTCTTGACGGAAAGAGAAATATTTATTAACTGTAGTGGAGGATGACATCATCCACATGAGGTGTGACATCACCCACATGGAGCAATACTTGCTTCTTAATTACTAGTTAAATGCCGCTAATTTGTTATAGAAATATCTAGCCTACCCCTCCTAATGACATAAGCCTTACTAAAAAAAAAATTGCATTACAAAACAAGGGGCAATGAGCGTCCAAAAATATTGAGTTTATTAAGAAAATATTTAGATGTGTGATTACCTTAAGAAAATATTCATGCGTACGAGTACCTTAACATAACCTATATATATATATGGAATTTGTTGAGCTACACCACTTGGTGGTGTAGACCCTGAAAGTGCTCAACATTTTTTGACCCTAAAATACCCTTGAATTGTAATACAAATTTTTCAAGTAGGGGCATTTTTGTCATTTAGAAGGGTAGAATGGATATTTTTATAAGAAAATAGTGGCATTCTATTAGTAGTTAAAAACAATTAATGCATCTTGTGGGTGATGTCACGCTCCAAATCGGTGATGTCATTGTCCACTATTTTAATAAATGCTTTTGTTTCTATTAGGAATTTCTAGTATATCCTTGACTAATTACTTAAAATACCCCTAAACAAAAAGTTACTATATTATAAGATAAGGGTATCTAAATGTCTAAAAATGTTGAGCACTTTACGAGTTTACACAAGTGTTGTAGCTTAACAAAACCCTATATATATATATATATATATATATATATATATATAAC